AATATTTAGAATAGGGTTTTGGGGTCATTATACTACCTATACTATTGTAGTAATAAGGGTGGAGGTTTTTTGGAAAGCTTTGGCGGGAGGCCTTTTTGTACAAGGTTTGGCGGGACATGATTTGGGTTCGTCAAGCTATTGAGGGATATGGGGGTTTCCAAAAATAGGGGACCCTAATATAGTACCCTAAATAGTAGGATCCTTATTATAAGGACCCCCAAATAAGGTACCCTAATTTTCGGAAACTCCCATATTGGTTTGCGGGGTTTGTTTGTGCGCCAAGCCATTGGGGGATTCCGGTCTTCAGGGTTTGTTTGTGCGTCCAGCTATTGGGGGAATCCTAGTTTTCAGGTATTGGGGGATTGCTGGTGGTGGTGCTTGTCCCTCATTTAGCGACTCCGTCTCATCATATATCTAAAATTGCCCTCTCATTTGGCGATTCCGGTTCAACATATATCTTGAACACACCCCGTCATTTGGCAATCCGGTTTCATCAGATATCTTAAACATGCCCCCTCATTTGGCCACTCCTGTTCATCATCATCGTCATCATCATCATCATCATCTGTTTATGTGTGTATATGTGTATATGTATGTGTATATATATATATATATCGTAAACACGCCCCCCCCCCCCCTTCAATTGTCGATTCCGCTTCAACATATGTACATCCTACTGATTTGGCGATTCCGGTTCAAGGTTCAACATATGTGTTAACCACGCCCTCCCCTCCTCATTTGGCGATTCCGCTTCATCAGATAGCTTCAACACGCCCCCTCATTTGGGCGATTCACGCCCCATCATGTGCCGATTCCGGTCCATCATATATCTTAAACTGCCCTGTCATTTGGCGGTTCCGGTTCATCATAGATCTTCAACACAGCCCCTCATTTGGCGATTCGGGTTCATCATATATCTTCAACACGCCCCCTCATTTGGCGATTCCGGTTCGTCATACATCCTAAGCACGCCCCCTCATTTGTGACAACCAATTGACATTCAGAAAACAACAAGAAACACGAACAACTAACACAAAACCGATAGAAACCAGCTAGCAATTCCGCTCATCATAACCAGAGGACCAAGGAACGGGAGGACCAGAGGACCAGAAGACCAAGGAACTGCAACACGAAGCGTCTAGAGGACCAGAGGACCAGGGCGTCAGGGGACCGGCGGACTAGAGGACTGGAGAACCAGAAGACCAAAAGAACAGGGATCGGGTGGCCAGGCGATCAACGGACGCGAAGACCAGGAGGCCAGAGAAACCAGAGGGCCAAAAAAAACGTAGGAGAAAGTTGGAAAACCGCGGGACCGAAGAAAGCACAGGACCAGGGGTGCACAGGACCAGGAGACCACTGGACCGGGGAAGCACGGGACCAGGGGACCGGGGGACCGCAGGACCAAGAAGACAGGCCCAGAGGACCAGACAACCACCTTCAAGCCAAAACTTTTGAAGGACAGCCTCTCGCCAAACCTTTATAAACAAAAAATCCTGGCCCAGTAATAAGGAACCCCCCCAAATAGTATGGGTAATCATTAAGGCCCCTATATATATATATATTGGCATGGAGTTGTTGATAAACTCTACAAGCTGTGCACCCTGGAAACTCACAAAAGAGCCTAAACCCGAATGCTCAAAAAACTCCGTGCCTGGACCTGTTCCATGTCCTCCAAGAGAGCCAGGCACAAGGACCAACCGCAGGCGCTGATCACCGCGGAGTAGCCTTGTACGCTTGCAGCAGTGGTGGTGGAGGTGGTGGTGGTGGTGGTGGTCATCGTCGTCGTAGTAGCAGTAGTAGCGGCAGTGACAGGCTCTGTCAAGACTGAGTCTTGACCCCACTGAGCGGAGCATGATCTACACCCTCCCTCACCTAATCAGATTAACAAAACTTGCCACGACTCCTGTCTTCGGCATGTTATCAAAATCCACCCAAAAAGCCATAATGTAGGAACCTGATCAAGAAACCCTGGCACTATAACCCTTACCGCAAATCCTGAACGGGAGACAGCAGAGGCTGCCAGGCTCTGAGTCTGGTGCCCAGCCAGCGGGCAACATGCGTTGCGTGTTCTCTTCGCCGCGGATGCTTCGGGCTTGGGGTTTAGGGTTGTCAGAGTGTTAACGGGGACATGACTTCTGTTCGTTAGCAGAACCGAAAACAGCAAAGGCAGTGGGCGGCTAAAAAGCGACAGCAGTTGCATCATGTTAATACCACCAATAGCAAATCCGGATCGGTATGCATCCCCATTATCATCGTCACCGTCGTCGTCGTCGTCCTCGTCGTCATACATCGTTTTCTCAATCGGATGTATTTTCCTAAGAGTCTGGCCTGTTCCAGGCTGGAGCAAATAAAAACCATGAAACGCATAGTTAATACATACTCGTAACAGTCATAACAATAATAACAATACTACAGTAGAAATACGTAGCAAGAAAACTGGTACTAGTAACAAGTAATAGTCGGCTGAGTTTTATCATCCTAGCAGCCTCACCCTGCCAGTGGGAAGCACAATAATTAACCAAATCACTGCTATCTGTTCATAATTGCGAGGTTCCTGAGTGACCCTTGCATTTTGTCCTGTTATTCAATCCCTTAGTCAGGAAACCATACAATAAAAAGGGCAAAAGGGTACTACTCAGGAACCTGGATTGATAGTCGTGTTGCTGGAAACATCCGCTGCAACCTCTGCAGAGCGCATGCCGAACAAGAGGTTCAGTGCCTCGTTGCAGGGTGTCAGCCCTAAACCCTAAGCCCTAAGGCCCTAAAGCTTAAACCCTTAAGGCCCTAAGCCTTGTACCCTAAACCCTCAAGCTCATAGCAGAACTGGGCCCTACACACCTGCCGCGCTAGAGCCTGCCACCCTAAGTGACCGCATGCCCTGAGTGACCTACACCCTCACTCTAACCTCAAAACCCCAAATCACGAACCCTAAACCCATTGCCCTAAACTTCAAAATACCAGTCTTACTCCCGAAATACAGCACGGTGAAAATCTCGACTGGCTGACGGGAACTTACCAAATGCAGGTCTCTTATAACTAGAACGGTGGCATATGCCACTGAGTGTAATCTGAGCTGCCGAGTTCATAAGCCAGACAGAGTGCACACGTTGAATTCTATACAGGGTAATAATGTCACAAACAACGTAAACTGTAGTCATTCAGCTACTAAGCAATTGGCAACAGGGACTCTATGAGGACTATAATACGAAACTATTCCAGCACCCGATACTACCAGTCTCGGATCGTCCTCACCATAGAACCGGTGAGCCAGAAAAGCTAGGGCTTAGGATTTAGGGAAACTATAGAACCCTGCGGACCCCAACCCACCGAATAATGGAGCACCCGGGAAGCCTCATGGAACTCCGGTACCCTCCATTCCCCTTCTCTGCAACATGAACCCTAAACCCTAAACCCTAAGATATCTTGCAGAGACCCCTTGAAAAGAAAGAGTAATGCAACAAAAACACAAAAGACCGGCGGAGTATCCTGGAGCGTTCAAGCCCTATAAACCCTACTAGACCCTACTAGACCCTAAACCGTTCAGGGTTTTGAGTCCTGGGTTTAGGGCTTTGGGTTTAAGCCCATTCCTATTTTTTCCATCTGGCCGAGCCTGCAGCCACTCGTTTGCATCGTGGCAAGCTGCAATGGCCTGGGCTCGGGAGTGCGTGGCTTAGGATTTAGGGCTCAGGGCTTATGAGGACCCTTCCAAATGGAGAGCCCTTACGTTCCCTAATCGTGGGTATTGAGGGTATAATCGAAGGTAAATGAGGGGTCTAGGAATAGTGTTCTGGGGTATATTTTGCCATATACTTAGTACCTTTATTCAGGAATCCCACTGAAAAACACATAGTCTGGGCAACTCTTTAGGTAGGATTGGGGGGGGTGTAATATAGGGGTCTAAACAAACACTACCAATGGTATTGTGGTGGTTCCTTCTTAGAAGTCTAGTCGAATAGATCCCAAAAAACCCTCTTGTAATTATTAAGTGGCCACTATATTCTTAGGTTTAGGCTCTGGGGGGCTTGGGGTTCAATTTCCTCAAGTTGACTTCAAGGGTTCAGGACTTAGGAATTTGAGCGTTTCAGGCTTCGAGGGTTTCAGGATTTTGGATTCTTCGAGTTTGAGGGTTTGGGGGCCCATTATACTATAGTTATGATACGGAACCCCCACCAAAAAATAGTATAGGTAATTATTTAGGCCCTTAGAGTAGTTTGAGGGCTTGAGAGTGTGAGTGTTTCTTGGGTTTCGGACTTTGAGGTTTGAGGGTTTGAGGGTTTGGGGTTTAGGGCTTAGGGCTTGAGGGTTTGAGGGTTTAGGTTTTAGGGTTTGAGGATTTAGGAGTTTGAGGGTTTGAGGACTTTGCGGGATTTGAGGCTTTGGGGGATCACAAAAACCCTGGATGGGAACATCAGTAGTGGATTAACCTGTCAATGCTGTGGGGGCAGGATTTCACTCAAGGGAAGCGAGAACAAGTACAATGGCACCATTTCAAACTAAAAACCCGACAATCATCATCATGCCAGCACGTCTTACGAACAACAATAACAGGAATAGTTCGTGTGATAGGACTGGTCATGTGCATAAGGGAAGATACTACAAGGGCCTTTATAATGAGAAGACGGCTTTGCCGGGTATACTGTAGTTGTGTAGGGACCTAATATAGGGGCCCCAATTTATCTGGTTACCCAACATTGTTCCTCGGCGTTCCATGTTAGAGGTATACTGCAGTGTACCCCAAAACCCTGTTCTAATTATTAAGGTCCCTATATCAAAATCCCTTAACTCTCTTCTTCAACAACCGGGCCCAAAAAGGTTCAATCTGTTTAGGATAGAAAGTTCTCCCATTGGTTATCTGAGGTTATGCTCTTCATGTCATACCGGGTCTCTTTAGGAACAAGCCAACCTACAACAAAAAGCAAGACGCATCGTACTCCAGAATCCGGATAATGTAGGGGCCTTGATGATTAGAATAGGATTCTGGGCTATTTTCTAGTATACCTAAAATAAGGACCCCGCCCCACCCTCAACAAAAAGACGTCGTACCCATTTAGGCCCGTATTTCAACTAGCACCCAGAATCAAGAGGCATGATGAGCCTAAACCCCAAACCCCTTACATAGCCCTCAAAGGCATGAAATGATGTAGGATGCCACAATCGGTGTCAGGTGTCCGAGTTGTACGTCGCGGTGTTTGGCTCCGCAGCTTGCTGAGCCATTGAGGCGAGCAGCGAGACAGCCATGAGCCACCTGGCTTCCCAAATCTTCCAATTCCCCTGAGCTAAGGGTTATCAAGTTGTACTTCATTAACCATGGCTGTTTCAACAATACTT